GATTCGAGGATATCCATTGTGCGCCAAAAGAGAATTTGACATGAGATCTGAAAAATATTGTCGTTTGACAAGCTTGATGATGCTTCACGTTCACAGAAGGTGTGTATAGTTTCAATCTTAATGCATTCCTTTCAGATCCGTCTAATTTGGTGGTTTGACTCAAGGAAAGATAGCGTGCGCTTCCGACATAAACACACTGTCTCTACCAGGCAGACATGTAATAACTTTCAGACGTTAGCTTTGAAGGTATTCAAAGGGAGAGCGGAAGCGACCGATGGTAATATGCAGACTGGCATTATTCACTATCGTTCCGCTGATACAATGTGCAGATTAGAGACAACCAAGTGGTCAGGCATGGACATCTACGTGACGGTGGGATTAAGTGTGGTGCATTTTAGAGGAACGCCGATACCCTTGCGACACCAAAGTATCGGGAAATAATAGATAACTCCAACGAATTTATTTTTCAAAGAAAGCAGTAACTAAATCCGTTCGTCCCCATTTTTACTCAGCTTTATGCTTCTCTGGTCCTGTTGGTGTCAAAAAAGAATTATGCAATGATAATAACAGGTGTTGAGGTGGGAGTGCCCTTTTTTAAAAAGACACAATAAGACGAGGAGAAAATAAGACTCATGCGTAAATGCAATGTCGACGGGATCGACCTACCCACCCACTGAACGGCTCAGACCGAGAGCCAAAAGCGGTAGTATAGCGTGTCTCTCAATTGCGTGTCATGTCATGTCAAAATCAAAGTCAATTAATAGTGCGCGCTCGCGTTGGCACCAATTACGGGACTTTGCATGTTGAAAAAGGCCCTTGCAATCAATCAACCTTGTAGGTGCAAAAATAAACTCTCTCTCTCTCTCCCTCTCTCCCCACAAACATCTACATATTCCACAGCAAGAGTAGCAACTCACTGCCATCCCCAAACCCATCACTGTACATACCTGCCTGGCCTCCCTCTTGGGATCAAAAAAAGACAAAAAATCGTAGCTGAAGATAGCAGATGAGCAGTTGGAGGATACTTGACACATTTGTGGTTGCAGTTAAGTGAGTCTTTACCACTTTCCTACGTGTGATTTTCCAGTTCAGTGGTCGGGACTCTCCTCCTAACGACTCCGATTGTTTGACTCTTCTGCTTGGGTAAAGCAAAGCCCGCGACTGTCACCGCACAAAATTCTAACTTCTCTATCATCCAACAAAAAAGACTCCCACTCTTTCTTTACGTGTCTGCATAAATAGTGAAATGAAAGATGTTGAAATTGTATCTCCGATAAACACTGCCTTAAATGAAGTTTAAGACGAAAAAATTGGAATTTTCCTGTTCATATTCAAACAATTGCAAGTGCAAACATTATTATCACCTACATTTTGGCCTGCAATAATGGGCACATTTGTTTAAAGCAGTAGCATCCAAGGCGTGGAGTTTAAACTCCAAATTGCGTACTTTTTATGCTTACAGGTGGACTATCTGCCACAGGTTATGGACAATTGAAGGTCTCGTTTTATTGTTCCATAGGCTGTGTTTTGCCATTAAGTAGTCACCTATCAATGGGCTAGGACTATCCTTGCCCACTTTTCCGCCTTTACCATTTAACGTGCCAGTGGCGAAGTTTAAAAGTTGCATTAGATTTGCTGTGTGGTGGTGGGTAGTGTGAAAATAGCATGGTGAAGGTCGACCTACCACTGATAGAGCTGGCAAATGCCATGACAGTGATGCCAAGAATGGCCTCACTAATCTCCCAGACGATGCCCAAAGCCTCTAGAGAATTGACAAGCTCGTGAGCTATGGCATAGATCCACACAATGGAGGTGAGAAAGCCCAAAGTGGCAAAGAATGGTCGATGGTAGGGCGTGGGAGCGCGATCCCAACGCGAGGTGACGAAGATGGTAATTGTAAGACCGGTAGAAACGAGAAGTACTATAACCACTACCGGAAGGTTTGAGTTGCCCACTTTGTAGAGGCCTAGCGGCATGCCTCCAACTAAAGCAGAAAACAATAACTCAAGTTTTTTTGTTTTCAAAAAGTAGTCGGCAATGTGCTTCAAAATAACCGGTCATATATGTAGACTAGGATTTTCCCGAAATGCATTAACGCATTCCTTATCAGGCCGCGTGTGGTGTGTAGGCTCAAGCTAGAATACTGGGATGTCACATGCATTTGATGTTGATACCGAATGCATTAGTTGTTTCCTCTGAAATAACTAAATCCTCTGTAAGCGTCAACCTCTATGAGCCTCAATCTTTAGTCGTGAAAATAGGGTTGCCCACTTTAGTGGTGTAGAACACGTCAAATTTTCTCCTAATCACGAGATTGCTTTAATACTTTAAACAGAATGACTTTAATTAGCAGGGAAAATGGACAACCAATGCTGTGAGGTGTATTACATGATTCGTTTAATATGTTCGTTACCAAATGAAATTTTATTCGCGTCACCTATTAGACTGCAAATGCAAATGGAGTAGCTTACACAGAAATTCACAAAGAGCCTGATTTGATTACATTATCTTGACAAAAGTGGAATACCCAAAATTTCTATGCTGTGGTTTTTCATACCCTAATCTGCAAAGAAAATCAGTTGTCACAATCCATATGCTTCACCTTAGCAGAAGAAAATTTGAGATTGGCTCAGGAATTTTTCAATGATCTAAATCACTCCAACTTAAGTGGGTATATTATGTGTGATGCGCAAGTTCAGGTAAGAAGGATAAGTTTTTATACTTGGGCGGCACCAATAGAGAAAGTGTGAAAGATCTCCAACAGCAGAGTTTATCAGTCATCAATAAATAACAATCTTAGGTAGAAATTTGAATGACATGGAAAAAATAATGGAGAACAACTGCTAGAGTAACTCAGGATTCAAAGCTGCTTGTATTGAGCGCTTGTTTACGATAACCTACAGTAAATTATTAAATAGTACAAACATTCATTGGGTGATGTGTAACGACACTAAATCTAACCAAATCGTTCCTATAAATGTATTTCAGAACAAAATTTTTCCATATTCGCCTTCTTTGATAAAGAGTTTGCTGCGTTTAGACAGACTAAAATTAAAGTTTCCATTTGGGCAAGATTGATAGTAAACGTCCTGCATGTTGAGTTAAAACCCTCGAAAAGACAATTATCAACTACGAATAAAAGCTACTTGCCTGTTTTTACTGGCACAATGGGATTTTAGAAGATACACGCTCATAAGTTATTATCGAGATGGGACCATGAAACGGCTAATTGTGAACCGCATTACAAGTTAGGTATTTTGAATGTTATTTGCTGTAATGTTGTTGTTATTGCATAACCCCCAGGCCTCCATCCAATTGCCTTCAGTTTGTAATCCTAACTCTCTAGTTCTTTCGGAAAACAATGTCAGCAAATCTGGGCTTTCCGCCATTGAATGAAACCGTAAAACACATGGTTTGGTTTTGTCAACTTTTGAAAAAGTCATAGCAATAGAATCAGAATACAATAAGACATGGTTAAACCAATAACCCCTTGAAGGCGGTAAAAAAGCATATCTTAATGGAAGAAAATTTTCAATAATCTCGTACCTGTAATCAATAGGACCCACAGCATTGGGGTGATAAGACACTGGAAGCAATTGAGTAGCCTACACCACCCATGCAAATCCTCAAAATCCACCACACATGATCGAGTCTCTTCACTCCTTTCATTTGCCGTTTTTGGAGGGTTTAATTGTGCTTCTCCCTCCATTCGTCCATTTGGACCTCCATCCAAATGTGGCGTCGAACAGACAGTGACTTCTTCGTCCTCAATGACATCAGCTGCAGCCTCGGGTGATGAGTTTGACGGAGGTTCCAGATCCTCATACACCACGGGAATTGTCAACCGAAAGAGAATAAATATCGGCGCTTGGATGATTTGAATAATCTTTACAGGGGTGGATAAGTCTTGCCATTCGGAGATTTCGATTGGACAGAGGCAGTACAGAAGGTGGTGCCACATACCACGACTGGCCCACTTAATAAATGGGTCTTCCTCATCTTCCTCCTTGTCCTCATCTTGTTCACGCCATTCTGATCCTCTCTCATCTGTTTTAGCGCAAATTTTCTCGCATATTTTTCTCTCACCCATAGTACTAACGGAAAGTGTAGAGCCGGAGCTGGTAGAGCTGTGGACTCCGACTCTGCAGGCATTATCTACACTATCCAGATCAGGAAGAGAGGCAGAGGAAATTCGTTGTAATTCGTGATTGCCGCTACGATGAGGGTGGGCATAATAGCTACGCAAGTTGGGATCATCCATGAAAGAGACTGTGGGGCTGCGTGATCGTGAAACAGCCTGAGGGGTGTGCAACGATGATAGGTCACCTGGGTGGGTGGAGTCGGAAATGTTCCGATAGCGTCTTCGAATCTCCACTTCTTCTAAAGTGGAGAATAAACCCAAACCGTTTGTCAATTTTGTTGTCAACAAAAGTTATGTCACAGATTCTCAAGGTAGTGCTCTTGAGACTTTGTTAAAGATCTTACTTTTTAATTGGGGATCCCTGACACTCTCCTCCACATCCATCGAAGGTGCAATTGTACCTCGAAGGATAAAAGTAGGAAAATTGATTATGATTCCTTAAGAGGCTTTTATTGGACAAAATCCTACTACTCAACCGTATGCCATCAGTTTAACAGGCCTTTTTTACCTGTCATGGGTCCGTCTAACTGCAGAAACTCATGCAACAATGAAAGCATTATGCAAATGTCGGATATGAGTAAGTGTAGGCTTACCTATGCAAAGGAAAATTTAAAGTTGAGCGAACGATCAAACTTACAGTCATCATTGTCCTTGCCTTCGGCCTCTTCACTTGCTGTCAAAAACATGAAGAAGTAGTGTAAAATGTGGGAGAGATGAGGAGTCATACCAAATTCACTAGCATGCATGTCAATTCTATCACAGTGGAGAGAGAAGTCTCACTGCAAAAGGTCAGGCTGATTTTAGAATCTATGATCCGTAGCAAAGTGAGAAAAAAATTGCACAGACACAGAGCGACTGTCCTCACCACAAGATTAATCGGTATATTCTCAGTTGAGAGGCAGGATATTGAGGCGTTATTGGCATAAAGGCTGCTTCATTCAGTGTCACTTTCTTATCATGTCATTATGGGGATACTAGGAGCCCACTTACCAATGATCCACCTGACTACAAAAGGCAGTTGCTCCATAGCACTCATGCGCCTACTTCCCCGTCTTTGATAAATGCTTGGCGTTCTTGAGCGCAGTCCAATCCCTCCCACTGAGGCGCGTTTCCTCATGGAAGACCCAACGGTCAGCGAATGTGGAGCTCCGGCTCCGGAGCCACGTCGGGAGACACTGGGAGGCGGTGTGATGCATCTAGGGCCATGGGCAAGTGAATTTCTCGCAGTAGCAAAGTGGGGCGGTGGGGTGAGAGGATAGCGAGTGTGGGAACCACTATGAGGTGGCTCCAAATAACGATGAGGGAGAGTCACATGACGCTGGCGCATGGACACCGAGGTTTTGGAAGCTGCCGAATTTTCGTCGACCGTGATATGGCTTTCTGTTGGTGGTGCGGTCACCTCGATGCGAGGAAAACAGAGAGGCGATCGCAATTGGCCACTACTGTGATTAACGCCCTTGCGGTTGTTCAGGGTATCAAGACGTTTCCGATAATCAACTATTTTTACTGTGAATGCAAAAATGGACTACGTTATTAAAAGGGCTACCAAACTAAATTGATGACTAAAGGACTAGACACTCCTGCAATCCTCGTTCTAACCCATTAACAATTCAATATGTAGGAAATTATAGCTATATATAACTGTTTTTCGTGTCTAGTGATCCAATCGTGATCGAGAGACACTTCTATCCTCCTAATTAAAGGTAATTGAAGCGGAAGACTACATGGCCTAAAAGCAGATTAGTTCATGCCTAAAAGCCGTAAATTCTGCTCCTTTCTTAAGAATGATAATTATAAATGCTTTGCTTAATCAACTATTCCTCTTTGACAGACAAAATGAGTGATTATAGTAATTCTTGGCTAACAAATCCTCAGACCGAGGACCGTTTGACGTGTCATACGCTCATAACCAAGTAGTATATGCTCAATTTCTTAAATACTGAACAGTGTTAATGGTCTTTTCTACTTTATCCCCTTTCCGCTCACAAGGAGTCCTCCCGCATTTCTCGTATGCACCGCGGTAGCGGATAATTTTATGCAAAATTCAGCCAAACACTGCGACCTTTACTTTTAAATAACGGGCTACCTTTGGAAAGATGGAAAAGTATTTCTGACGGAACATTAGAGGACTTGCTCGAAGAAAAAAGGCTTTCAACAAATTTAAAATGGTTACGAATGATGCTATTCTTAAAAGCAATGTACGAATTTGGGATTTAGGTTCTTAGATCTTTCGTAAGAATGTCTATTTAACATTAGCACAATCAAACAGCCACCTTTGTTATAAATTTATCGACAACAGCATTATACGGTAGTTTTATAATGTCGGTGATTAAATAAGATTCCTCATTGTGTTTTCAGAGTACTTTACACAGTTCTGTGTGGCTAAATCTAAATCAAACAAACTTTGTCATTTAAGGGAGTCATTAGAAATTAAATGAGTGGGATTTGGAGATTCATGTTTTCAGTAATAAGCATCTTAAGTGATAAAAATCAGCGAGTTGAATCTTATTTGAATTCTTTGCTTTACAATTGGCTAGCAACACAGTGATGGATTGTAGGTGCCATTACGATAAGGGCGCAGTGGGTAGTGAGTGAGTATCACGCGCTATTATTGTCGGCACGTTAAAAGGTGTGCTCTGTAGAACAAAGCTGAGGATTCTCTCTACGGTAACATGTGGGTGAATAATCATGTTTGGTGCTGCCACCTAGCCAGGTTTTCATTATAAACATTCAAAACCGGTTGTCCTTACCATCGTTTTCGATGTAAGGGTTTTTATTACGATGGCCGACATTGTTGCCTAGAAGGTCGATGGATTTCTTTGGTCCTAGTTCAGAATCACTTTCAATAAAGGTCTTGGAAACCGTCCTTCGAGACTTGGTTAGGCCCCGAAACCGCATCCAAAGGGACCTTAACCGGCAGGGGTCTTTTCGAGGTGGCATTTCTTCTCTTTCTGCTGCACTTTTACCCCTCGATTCAATTCGTTTACAAATGGCGTAAGTTTTGAGACTCTTAAGGTAGTTTGAACAGCGTTGATAAAATTGACTGTTGGACTTCTTCAAATGAACGTGGCTGGCTGCCCAAGTCGTTAGCACGTAAAGTATGTAGAGCATTATAAAACCTGAAAGGAGGTAAAACATATGGGAAAAAAGCACTAACTCATAGACTTTGATTCATTTGTTTGTCAGAAATGATGTAAAAACTTTTGATCACAACTTCAAGAGGAACTACGATTAAAACCAATTTCAATTTAGCGGTGTCAGTGATTTG